ACAAGCGATCCTATCTTAATGATGTCACATGCAACCTCATCTTCCAGAACACGCTGAGCCTGCCATAAAAAAGATAACAGTTATACATCAAGTTCTAGGTCTGTCCCCTAAGACATGGACCAGGTATTTTAACTCTTGAACAATATTTAATTGTTAAAAAGCAGACAAAAGGATCACATTGTTCTAAAATGTAAGTTACATGTATGTAGAAATTTTTTCCACGCTGAAACTTGATTACAGTGTCTTCTCTTCTAGCCAGCCATCAGACCTACTAATAAGGGACTACTTAAATTTTATTAGATATTATAAATAGTTATGTAATGTATGTATAATAATATAAAATTATACTATCACTATTAATAGTAAAACTGGTGGAGGCACGGTGGCCTCATGGTTAGTGCACTCGACTCCAGATTGAGCAGTTCAGGTTCAAGCTCTGCCTGGGGACATTGTATTATGTTCTTGGGCAAGACACTTTACTCTCACAGTGTCTCTCTCCTCTCCACACAGGTATAAAATTGGGTACTGGCAAATTTAATGCTGGGGGTAGCCCTGTGATGGACTAGCATCCCATCCAGGGGAGAATAGAAATACTCTTAGTCACTTCATGCAACAGAAACTAGTCAGGAGACAAACACTGGTCTGATGGCTCACTTGGCTTGTATGCAGGCGTTACCTACATAGCAAAACTACTTTGAAAATTACTCAGATGCAATCCTAATGATAATTTAGAATGATACAATATAAAGTATGATATAAAATAATAAATACAATGTTGTAAACAATGCGACATGCAATAGACCATTTTCGTATTCTTGGTATAGGACTGGAACTAGCTTGCAACTGAGGCTTACGTGGGGAGTCTTTTCAAATGAAAATGGTATTTATCTCTTTTTAATGGTATTCCCACGAATGAGCCTCCAGTACAAGCTAGTTCCAATCCAATACGGAAATTACAAAAATGGTCTATTCCAGGCATTCTCAAGGTGTATGCTTAGAATCTTAAGAAAACAAATTCATTATGAACATTGCAAGCAAACCTGCTCAAAGGGAACACTTCTGGCCATAAGCTTGATCATGTCTCTGGCTTTAATGATGATGTAAGGATCCCATGTCTTCCTTGTTGTACTAACTGTCATGCTTCCCTCAATAACATCTAACTGGCACTTCAATGACTTGAAAAATGGTTTGAAAAACAAACAAACAAAAAAAAAAAACATGGAAGTCATTACCTTTTGATAAATGACTGTCACATACATACATATCCCTTATTAAAAGTGTCTGGTCATTCTAGCGCCAACGGCACTAACTGGGGACACAGACAAAATACAGTGCATCCTTATGGAATACATTGATTTATTGATAATAAGGATAGAATTACAGGAGATCTTTACACAAACTTCAGCACAACTTTCCAAAGATCTCCCTGTCTCACATAATGGAGCTTTTCTGTTATAAAATAATATGTCTGTATGATGCAAGAAAGTAAGGCAACAACCATTCTATCTAGGATTTGACTTAACAATTTTGGATATAATGAAAGCACAATCTTGAACTGAAAAGCCCGGGCAAATCCCAGATCCTACAGTGTTCATGGTTGTTTTGCTATAGTTGTCACTCAACCCCCCAACTCCTTTCCTGCTGCCTCTATATTGAACATTTTAAGAACTTACATATTCTTTTAGTTTCTTTTCCACCAAAGGCCAGAATTCTCGCAGATATTTTTCTCTGTATTTGGGAAACAAAGTTGCAAATGAACTCTCTTCCAGCATGCCATGTGGATTGTCTTCACTTGTAAATGATTCAATTTTCCAGTGATCAATACCCTCGTGATCCCAAGCTAAACGAAAGAACAACAAAAATGTTAGATTTTCAACTAATAAATTACAAATTTGCAAGAGAAACTGGAAGAGAAAACTAGAGAAAAGCTTGCCCTAACAAAAGCGATTGTTTATCTTTCTCTTTAGAAGATCAAATGTTATAAAATTTGATGAAGAAACAATAAGACTTAAGCCATGTCGGAATGTAGTACTTAGCCAGAGGTGGTTGTGTGTACACAATGTAAGTTTACATGCTTCGCACCGCGCTTTGATACGACAAATCAATCGTCGACTTACGTTTGTCTTTCCTGTAGTTTCTTTTCTTACTGTCACCTTAAAATAAAAGGACATATGAATGTTTGAAACGCAGCAAGGATTCATCAGAGAACAAATTAAAGCAAGGTTTTAGCTCAGACTTTACCTGGAAGCACTGTTTCGTCTTCTCCGTCCGCCATGTTGAATTGAGTCTCATTCCCAGTCCCACTGAGCTTTCGACTTTGATGCCCAGTCTCTTGGCTCATCTCACGAATAGGTACAACCAGAAGCATAGGTGATATGCCTCTGGTACAACCAAGTACAACCCTGGGTGCAACAGGCAGACGCCCTATCCGGGCCAGGCGTTACAGTGTTCGGAGTCATTGCGTGAGTGCTTGTGCAATTAATTTGATTGGAGAAAGGTTTGCCATAGACGGCACTTGTTTTCCCTTGTGAAGAGAAAAACGTCGTCACTTCCGCCACGAGGGCCCGCGCGAGGGGTTGTTAGTTCACAGTTGTTGTTGGCAGGGCGAAGAACTGCACGTTAAGAAATAAAAAGTCAAATAGCGGCCAGTCGAGTTTCATGGTTAGATTCTATCTGCCAGCTGATATTGTACCGTGAATTGTTGGGAACTTTTTCCGTGACAAAGCAATGTACTGCAGGTATCATGGTGGAGAGGGAAAACTCCCACGTGGGAGTGTCGAGGGTGATCGTCGCATCTTTCAGGGGAAACAATACTTAGCTTACTACATGCTTAGAGTTCTAAAATCTACAAACAATACCACTCTTAGTTATTGCTTTATCCTTTGGCTGCTCGATGTAGATATAGATATGGCACTGATATATAGAACGATTTGTCAGGAAGAATTGGCACCACTTAGGAGTGCAAATGCGGACCCGAGCCAGGCCCACAAAAACAGAGTGACATCTTTTAGGGTTTTTTTTTTTTTCAAAATTTACGACGAGTGCCCCCGTTCTTTTTACATGGGAGTCCCCCCTCCCGAGCTTATATTTTACTAAATATCACAGGGATAATAAATCCAGCGGAACANCCCCCCTCCACCTCTCTTCGGGTAGCTATCTAGTGACGTAAGAAAAAGGATTTAGTGTGGAAGTAAGAAATCTCACACGTTATAGATATATAGCAGTCTCCAAGTCATTTGAGGGCAAATCGAACAAAATACTGCAAGTTAAGGAGTTCGGCTCGGAGTCGATTTGATGAGAAAAAATGAAATATAAAACACGTTATAAAGGTTTCTGTCGTTTTATTTTTTTTATTTTCATTTATCTTACAGATAGTTATCCTTTGCCGTACCTAACTTAGTTAATTAGCAGACTGAGGTGATTAAAATCTCTCTTTTGCTATTGCACATGTATTGGCAATCTATACAAAAACTATCCTTTCTTTATATATATATATATATATATATATATATATATATATATATATATCGATATAAGTATCTTTGTCAACAAATAATTACCATGTATTTTGCTTTAATTATGTAAACAATATTTGTTTTACATTTTATTCTTTTTTGTGTCCTTTACAAGTGAATTCTTTCGGCAAGTTTTAATGTTATACGCAGAAATATAGTCATTATTTATTTAACGAAACAAAGAGAACGTGAGCTGGAATTCAATAATTAACGAATTAGAGATGGGTTTTGTTCGAATAATCCAACACCAAAAAACCTTTAATGGTAATTTGAAATAAAATTGGAACATGACGTACCTCTAAGTACGTACAGTTTTCATTACAAAAATTACAAAATTACTTCAACTTCTGCACTAGTTAAGAATTGTTTCCCTCGCTTTTTACGCTATCAGCTGATCTTTCATCTCGTCCGCTTTCATTCCCGCTTTTTTGTCGACTGCGAGTGCCAAATTGTAAGTTGTGAAGTGCTTTCGTTTGACGCCCGAGACGTGTATTATCCACACCATAGCGAGTCCCAACAAAATCCCTACCACAATTAGTAGAACGATGCCTTCTCCAGATTTTAATGCGAAGCGTTTGTGACCTGTAAAAGTTAGTGAAAAAGTGTAAAGATGGGAAGGCTATCGCTCTTTACGCGCTTTAAAGATGTCTCAGATCAATTTTTCAGGCAAGATTTCATTCTGATGACGTACTTCTACAGGGATCCGTATATGGCCTAGGATCGCCTGGGATTGGTTGTTTCTTGCGCGCGAAAATTCAAAATCGTGGAGCAACCAATCAGAGACGACACATGGGTCTCTGTTGAGTTAAGTCATCACTTTAGAATTTTTCAAGGCTTGTCAACCTCGCTCCCAGGGTCCTATCTTTCCGGAGAAATAGGACCCTGGGAACGAGGTATAAAGTTTGCAAGTCGTTTCAACGCGCTTGTAAATATCTCGATAAATAAGCTAAATTAATTACCTTTCAAGGTTATCGTTGGTGCATATCTGCCGTGCGGTCCCCAATCTATTAAAACAAAATCAGAATTAAAAATATTGAATGAACTTTCGAACTTTTGAGTCAAAGCAAACGTGAGAGAACAGTGACTTTAGCCCCTAATATTTTCACAGTGCACATCTCAGGGCATCTAGTTATGGTTGATCGAAATTTCGGAGATCATAACGTCAACTTCTTTTTAGTAAGTTTTTTTGCGCCAAAGTCAAAACAGTGGAGAAACAGCTATGCGAAAAAAGGATAAAGTCGATTACGAAGAATGAAAATTGTTTTCTTGCAATTGAGCTAATTTTCGGGCAACTCAAATGAAAACCGCCTTTCGTTGCTTGAGAAAGCAATTTTTCGTGGGTATCGAATTGATTAATTGAAAATAGTTGTTGGAACTGAGTGGTTTTGAAAACTTTTTCAGTACCTTTAGCTCTTGGGTCATATGCGTCCATTGTAAAAGCTTCTCTTTCGCTCGGCAAGGCAACAATCTGTGGAAAATAACGGCAAACAAACTGAGCTATACAAACCACTCATTCTCTTCCCCAGAGCTTCCGTCTCTTTTAGGCACGTGGTCGGCGAAATGGAGGGAGCCACTCGTAAGGGCATTTTAAAACGAGTAGTACTGGGGACCAGAATGCAGGCCGCTCTAGTTGTGACTGAAGTCTGAGCTGATCGAGTGAATTTTATCGGGTTTTTGTCATGTCAGGTGATTTAACCACATGTCCGTCCCAAAGGTGGTACCAGTACAAAGTTCTACTTACTGTGATGTAAAGCCTGTTGGGATATTTCCATCCATCTGTCTCGTTGATGTCCAGGTGAAGTTCGTTCTGTAAAGAAGCAAGAACCAGTTAAAAAAAAGTGTTAAATTCCCGTTGTCATGATCTAAGGAAAAGATTACAAGAGTTTTCACACTCGGTTCAACAGGTTGTTGACTCTCGATCGCTCTTGTATTATCCAGCCGTAATAGACGTAATACTAGTAACCAACCTAGTAAACTAAACAAATGGAATGTGGTTTAGCGTGGTCCGTACTTTTTTTTACAATAACTGTCTAATTTCTCGCGCGCTGATTGGCTCATTTTTATCATCAGTAAGAGTACAGACGGATAAAATTTTAATTTATGCAAGCTTTCAAGTTCAACTTTCAGCTGTCAAACTGTCAACTTTTCAACCAATGAGATTTTATGGACTTTTTAAGTAGCCAATCAAAAAGCGAGAAAAGCTATTGACAATGTTCGCGTCATTTTGAATAAAATTCACTTATTTTTGTTCACAGCAAGTTTACGGCGTCATAACAGTGATCAAAACGTTACGGACTCACGAGGCGCATTCGAGTGAGTACATAACAAATTTTGACCACTGCGATGACGCGTATAGTTGTCGATAAGAGTACAGACCACGCTAAATCACATTTCGATTTGTTTTTTACCACAACAGCTTCAAAGGAAATGTTTTTTTTTTTTCAGAGCGCGAGCTGAAAAAGGCATTGCGCGACACATTGACGGGAGCAGCGTGGTCTGGACCCTTATCGACAACGGCAAATTAGCCAATCAGATTGCGAGATTAGCAGCAATTGTGAGCTAGACTCAGCCCGGGAGCGCGGGTACTTCTAGAAAAATTCGATAGGAGTGTGCGACCCACTTCCCAAAGCCTTCACCCTATTTAAGACCCGGCAAAATCTGCGATTTTCCCTACTCTATTTTTGACCTGGCCAAATACTTGATACTCTATTTAAGACCTGACAAGACAAAACCATTAAATCAACCTATATAGCCCATGTAAGGGAGCACTCCGTCTCAACATGGCCAACGAGTCGCAGACCCAGACGGCGCTGTGTAATATTGAATACTTCGGAGCAGATTCGAGTCGCACGAACTCATCGGTACCGCAAAACGATAGCTTGAGTTGTTCTCTGGTTTTCTTCCTCATGGTTCCTTGTACAAATCATGTCCAAAAGAAAATCATTTCCAATCGAGTCCCGGTATTTCGAACTCTTAGAGGAAATAGGAACCAAAAAATGGTTCGACGTGACGGGAGTTTCGAGACAGCCGATAGTGAATGACTGAAAAAGCACATCGACAGGAAGCTGATTTGAGTTCGAGATAACGAGGAAGTCAAGATAACAAGATAACCGAGTGAATTTCATGTAGAGAAATTTCCTTACTTTGGGTAGCGCTCTGCAGTTGGCAAGCCCTGGCATTCCGTTATCAGTAGTTAAACTTTCTGAGAACCATATGGCAAGGTAGCCACGCCAGTTGGAGGAGACATTCACATCTGAAACAACAATGGCGAAAAGACTCAAAATTTCTGTCAATTTGTTGCCGCAGTGCTTTTTAATTGCAGTTGTACTGTAAATGAAAAGCCAAATGCTGTAAATACAACACAAATTTGTTAAGAATCCCACAGTGTCGGTCAACTCAAAACTCCTGTATTACAGTTAATGCATAGTCGGATCGAGTAAGGGATCAGTTGGACAATGGAAATCTGGTTTCCAGCTCCTACACCCTAACAGTTGCCAACTGGAAACCAGAATGGGAACAAAAGTGAAGTTATAATAATCCAAAAAAACAATAAAACAAAAAAACAAAACGAACAGGAATGGTTAAGGCAAGGGAAGAACAAAACGAATTACGAAGGGCGGTATTAAAAAAAAATTGGGCATTTTAGAGATGCGTCAGCTCTTTATTATTTCAAAAAAAAGTAGCCTGTTTGCGTAAAATGATGTCAACTTGCCTGGCTCCATGCTTGAAGGGAGGTTAATAATTTTTTACATTCATACCTTTTGGCGCTGTCCAATTCACTCTGGCAACCCATTCCTGGCTGTTTTCCGTCTTTTGCTCCACGAATGCAACGGCAACATTAGTTACATCCCCTGGTATAAATTCCCCCGCAGTAGGACCATAGTCACGCGGACAGCCTGCAAATCAAATACACAGATTTACTTTTAAGTAACATCGGCCCCTCACTCAAGCAAAGATGGTCTACTCGTCACGCAATGTTTTTTGCCGTGACAAGTCAAAATTTCCACAGCTAAAAAGAAAGGAAATAGTCGTGACATTAACGGCGGCAAATATCTGTTAAGTCAAGGCGGAGTAACGTCTGCACAGGAACGCTGGTCTGAATTGGAGATAGGCTACATAAAAATGGGCAATAATATCCAGACCTGCGTACAACATTAAGGTACAGTCAGATTTGGTTGATGGAGACCTGGGTACAACAGTCAAATCAGCTGGGCATAATTAATATATCTTTTTGTTAAATAGCAGATTTTATTTCGTTTCTGAAACGAAGTATCTTACCGAATTTCGGAGGATCCGTTGTAGATGCTGTGATCACAGAAAGAGGTTCAGTTGTTGGACGAGTTGTTGAACTGGAATTTTCTACGAGAGAAAATAAAATTGAAAATTGATGTTCACGTCGTAATCAATATTAAATGGTACAAAACAGATGAATTAAACAAAGATAAGCTAAAATAATTCGGTATCGTTGCGTATGTTCAGCTGTTCAAGGGTAATATTACAGAGCAACGCGACACTTGTTAAAATTGAGGCAGTTTTTCACTTACAGCTATTCTTACAATGGATGTTCTTCGCCTTTAGCTTCGAATTTCAAATAATTAACTCTCGAGTGCGGGGGAGAAAACGAAACAATTCGACAGGTCATATTAAAACACAAGACTGACACTTTTGTTTATGAAGACGTCAATCTGATTTCAGCTGATATTGCAAACACACAGGGGAGCTTGGGGCCTGAAATCTTCGATATTCACATTTCTAAAACGAGCTCGACCCCTAACCGTTAAGACGAGCTTATGGACCAAAAAAACAATGCATAGGCAGACTTTAATTTATTACCTTTTTTGCGCTTAATGTTAAATTATTTTTGGCAGGAATGTAGGTGAGTTGTTTGTTTATCGGCGCTATATCATTTGTCAGCCGAAGTTAAAATCGACGTTTCGTCATTACTTCCTTCTTCGGGATTGACAAGTCTGACAATTTGCATCGACAATGAAATGAAAAACGCATCAGCGACATCGTGTGACTGTAGGAAGAAAGTGATGCCTTCTATGCTAACAGAATAATTACGTCGGTACCTTACTCAACAATGCACGTAGCACGTGAAAGGAATAGCAACAAAGGAACTCGAAGTTTTGCTCCCTTATCGGATTTTTGTAATTTACAAACTATAATAGAGGTGTAGTTAGTTGTTAAAAATAACCTACCTTGCGCCAATAACAAACATTTTTCCACACAGGGGTGACGTGACTGTTGAGAGACGAACAGAGAAATGTTTTTCTTAAAGAAGTTTTCTTTTTCATGCCGCAAAGTAAAAACTGCTACAAAATGTCACCATCGGCATATTTTTATATATTGTAAGTTTCCTTTCAGTGTTATATTCAGAATTACGTATAGTTTCGAACGAAATTGAACCTCAGAATCATAGTTTATTGAGGCAGAAGAACCCTACGAGGAAGTGATGAAGGAATTGCGAGGCGAATTTAATTTGAAAAGCGCTGAAACACGACAAAACTGCAAGAGAGCAAAATTCAGGATGAGGGAATTTCACTGGAACGTTATGTAAAGAGCGTCAGTTTTCTCGAGAAAACTCGGCGAAGAGAGTCCAAAGCATGGGCAGGAACTCGTCGTTTTGACCATTTACGTAATCTATTTAGGTTCATCTCGTTTGATTTATCCACGTGTTTATCTTGTGTAAGAACATCCGTCCCGTGAAATATTTACCATCGTATGCTGTTTCAAATTTCTACGAAACCTTCGCGGCAAAATTTCCTGAACCAACGTAAGGGTTAATTTTAGACAGTTTTCAACGGGAAAAGCTTTTGACTGTTCCCGTTTAAGCTGAAACGCAAGATAGAGAGTAAACTCAATGAAAAATTAGTTTGTCTGTCATCTGCTACGGTATCGCATGCATATATCGGGGTAACAGTGAAAAGAAATACATTTTAAAAAGGTAGGAAACAAATGGTCGGTCCATTAGTCAACATTAAAAGAAAACGGAAAACAATTAAACATCAGCAATTTTTTCCGAGAAGAAAAATAAAATTGCTTTCCCAGGAAAACCGCCTGTGACATTTGTTGTGAACATGAAAATATTCCTAGAGTTTACCTAACTCTAGAGGACCTCTAACATTCGCGCCCCGCTTTTCATCCTAGAAATTGAAACTCCACTAAACTGGACTCGCTATTGTATATCAATCAAAAGAATCCACTTCTTGTCTTCGATTGCTTTCTGATAACGTCCGTCTGAACGTTTACGTCCCATTAATTAACCTTGTTTCACCAAAAGCACCAAAGTAAAATTATTTCTTTAGATTCTCTACCTTAGGTACCGAGGCATGAACGATGGGAACTTAAAATACACTTACCTGTGAGTCTTCTAGAGGAACCTCGGTAGGTTTCGGGTGGCGACACAGTCGCTTGCACTCGTCCAAAACACGATTCGACTTAGGTGCGTGAAAATCATTTGAGCCAAGCGCCCGGTCAGAAGAGTGGACCCACAGCACACAGGCGAGTATCAGTCGAAATTTTAGCTCTATCATGATCGGTTGACTAACAGAAACAACGAGGCATCTTTACTGCGGCAAATCTCGATGAACACTGAGCGAAGATAGCATTAATAAGGATGTACAAAAAAAAAATCCGGCCAGTGTCAGAGGACCAAATATATACAAACGCCAATAAACCAGTATTTAGTATTCCGTTTAGACACAGGAAGTCATAGCCGTGACATAATTTTATGCTAAACTTGACATGTAATCTGTTTGAGAAAGCGAAGCCGCGCGGAAGAGATTCCGTCCTGGCGCCGCGCCGAAAAGCATCAGGCATTCAACAAGGAAATAGTTCTGTTTTGATACGACAAGAGATGTAATCGCGTCAGGGAAAATGATAATAAACGAGAAAAATAATATCGGCATCCTGCATCACTGCGTCTTCCTGTGTGGATAGTGTTTTTTCGTTCTTATACCTGAAGCCTTTGTTATAGTGAAGTGCTAAGCTTTAACAGCTGCATGATTGGTGAAGGATGAAGTTCTTCTTTACATAAACACATAAACCGGGGGAAGCCGGTTGAGGGGAATGGTACGGGTGGGTTTTTTTTTTACTGGCAAGTCCGAAACAAGCATACATGTACACCCTTACTGCTTGGCTTTCATTTCTAGTTCAACACTTAGATATATGTTTTAACTTTCGAGCAGATTCTGCGGTGGAAAAATGACTGTTTCATGTGGTTCAGCGGTTATAAATGAGGTGAAAATTTGAATATCTCCGGTTTTGGATGGGACGCATGGATCTAGAAGCAGGTGAGATTTGACCGGGTAGGTCAGAAAATGAGCAGGGTCTGGGGGCGCATTGAACTCAGCGAAACCCCTACCCCACCCCCCTCCTCATTATTCACTGTACCCCAGACTCGCAGAGGCAAAACACCGACCGAATATTGCGGTCTAAATTCCGGGAACATTTTTCGCTCTTTTGGCGATCAAGCTGGCAGCAGGAACAATTTTCAGAGTGAAGTTCTGATCTGACAGAACGACGTCCTTTAATTAAACGTACACCAAAAATGGCAGTTTCTGTTTTCAAACCCAAGCTTACAAGAAGGGGTGGCCTCAGAACCAGTGGGGTACTCCGAAGGACCTCTATGGGTCCCTCTATTCTTCAATATTTTGGCATTTTCCACGGTAGTTTTTTTGCACTGGACCAAGAAACCCAATAAAATGGCCGTGCCGTATATCGATTTCTAGAACATGCATGTTATCCCCTGGAATGAAGCTACGAGGATTAATTTAGAGACTGGGGCTAGCAGACCTCAGTGAAACACAGTACTTTGTACTCTAGGAAGTGGCTAGGGGTAGGGGTAAATATTGAAACTAGCGCTCCCCCCTCCACACACACACATGCACAGAAAACTTCTCAGATTTTTGCATGGTCATGTTACAAGCATCGAGGAAGTAATTGCGCCAACCTGCAACATTGCTACAGAATGGAAGACTGTTCCACCTGTTACAGTTGGATCTGATACGTGACTCCAAGTGAATCTCAATTGCCGCAAATTTAAATGTTTGCTTAGTGCTGAAGGAAATTAAAGATAAGGGTACACGTCGGTAAGTTCCAGTATTACGACTCTAAAAAGTCAGTACTTCCCGTTCTTTGTATCCTGAGGCTAGTTCAGCCATCTGACGGAGCCTAGAGGTAAAGGGTTCTCAATGCGTTATTTACAGCCTGACTTCAAACCTTTCTACAGCTAACGTAACAATTTTTGTAGACCGTAGAAGCGTTCTATAGCAGTATAGAGAATCAGACTCTGCTCTTTCCCGGGTGCACTGTTCCTAATACACCTAACACACCTATTATTGCCCTCCTAGACCGGCATTAAAATGTTTTCATGGTAATCGTGGTAGTCTGCAGTTTTCCTCCACCCCCACCCCCTCCCTGGCGCTGGGAAATGAATATTCACGACACGTGCCGAAGGAAGAGTATTAATTTTAAGGATATTGCAATTCCTTTTTTAATTTATCGCGATGAGATATCAATAGCAAGATTTATTCATGCCAAAGAAGAACCTGACAACCGCGTCTGTGCAACCACCGGATGACGAAGTTAATCCTTCGAAACTACGAAAAAAAAAAAAGAACTAGAGCGACTTAAAGCCAGTTTGAACAATAAAAAAAATGACCTGCTTAGCCTCCGAAGCATTGCATTGTTCACTATTGTTATATGCTGTCTTACGAGTCACTACATAATCTGAAAGACGATATTAAAGGTGCATAATGGCGTCATTTGTAGTTCGAATGGCAGAGAGCCATTGAAAGTGGCTGAAGTGGTTGTCTGGAAAACAAAGACTGAGAAAATTAAGCCCTTGAAAACTAAGAGTCGTATTATTTTCCTACTCGTGTCACTTTCCTGCTCCGTTTTCTTAATTACGAAAGTGAAGAAAGACAGGTGACCCTATCTTATATTATTTACTTCAAAGCAAATATGTAGAAACGAGTCCCGCCATCGCACGTGAGTCATATCACGTGATCTGGTTACAATTTATCGAGGGGAGTACCGCCCCTTCCTGAACCGTGAATGAATGGACAACACGCACCAACATTTATTTCACGCGGACATGTCTTGTCTTCCGTGCAAAGCGGCACGACTCCTGCAAAGTCCACCTGGTAAACCAATTCTCCGTGGAGATTTTTTACGACCCTCAAAAGAACGTTTCTGAGGGAGAGTCTAGTGTTGCATTGTAACTGCAACCTAACGGAAGAAGAAATTCGCGTTCCCTACAATTTCGCTTGCGTTGCACGTTTTAGGTGGTCGGTTCTTATTTCGATCAAAAACATGATAGCAACTGTTTCTACATTGGTTGTCACAATTACTAAAATTTAAAACCCCTCAGGAAAATTCAAACAGTATGGGGTCTTAGATTTCGTGACCACCCGCCGGAAGAAGTTGATTTCAATATCAATACAGTTGGAAACCCGGGGTTCGGGGCATTTAACCAGAACGCTAATCATATACCGTGGAAAATCCTGGTTATAGCTAGGCTATGGGCTTATGAACCTGCGTACAGAGTATTGGGAGGGCTTATAAACGAATTGAAGGTAAATTTTAAAGGGGCTACGCCACGAAATTTCACCTCTTCTACGGTGTATAAAAGTGGCATCAAACCCGACATAGTCACATATTGTTGCGGCCAAGAAACACCTAATTACGGAAGACGGACTTGAAAATATTAGACTTCTTTTTTTTCAAGATGCAAAGTCCATAACGAGGCTGTCTGATGCGGGGGGTCTAGGTAAGGGATTCTTAAAATTAGGGATATCCTGTATTGGTCCCAGTTGGATAAACTTCAATCGCCTTCTTTTGTCGCTTACTCTCTTGGGGGTAAGGAGATAGTGTTGGCGGCTGAAATGGTAAAGGGCGTGCTTTTAATTTCACTTGTGGTTAGTCCATATTCAGGCTAACAACGAGTGAATGCCTTAAAT